CTGAGATAGCTCCAGAAAGCACTCCTAAGCCCACTGCATGAGGCTATACTGACCCTGTAGAATAACTGCTGGATAAACCTGACAGATTGATGGATGGATTAGACCACAGTTTGACATTACATTCAGACTCTACTATAGCACATAGCAGATATACAGACAGTGTGTGCTGCTGTCTCAAATATTCACCTGATCACCAGTAGAAATGCACTTGAGGCCTGTTATAGACAGTGGATCAAAAGGTGTATTGAACACAAAAGCCTAAAAACAAATTGCAAAACTCATGGTGAGCTTCTAGGTGAATGTGTAGGGTGAAGCAGAAATAGTATCTGTGTAAACATTAAGAATAAATGGGGAATGACCTTTGTCCAGCAGCTTCTGCAAGAACTTTAGTACCACTTGGTCACATTGATTATCATGATCTGTGTCAATGTGGCTCACTAATGCAAGATAGTATCTAAGACTGCTGGCTCATAGGCCATCAATGGTGACTTTAGCCCAGTGGCCACAGGGTGTCACACTGGACCCCAAGCTGGCCCTGGGGGTCCTAACCCTGAGCTGTATTTCCAAGGTACCAAACAGGGACAAATGAATGGAGCTAGAAATGGTGCAGACCTTCAAATCATCAGAACTCAGAAGTTCAGAAGTACCATTATGTGATGAGAAACACACTCTAATACTTTACCAGGGCATAGATGGTTCTGGATTCTGATTGGTTACACTACCATGTTGTACCACACAGTTTCCCAACCCTGGTCCTGGAGTACCTCTGTCCCCCCATACAGAAATCTGACTGGGATTTTAAGTATATGACATATATTAGCATTTGTGGATTTCCTTTATACCCAGCTTATATTTATCATTTATGGACATATATGTGACATATATGCCAACAAATTTGAAATTGGCCACTTTCAAATATGGGACATATATTTCAAATATATATTAACATATACCAAAATATACGTGTAAGACATATTTAACAATATAGAATAGAAAATATTATAAATATATAGAGGTCATATATTACTCAGATGAGATTTTTTATGCATCGTCTTTGTTTATTCTACATACTTCCTAATGGAGTGACAATTAGTATCACAGCTACATAACTAAACTCTAAGAACATACACATTTCAAGCTATGCAATAAAATAATTCAAATATGAAATAGATGAAACTATTGTTCCTTGACACATTTAATAATTTCATATTTAAAAAGTAACAAGCATAACTGTACTGAGGTGTATTCAACCATGTATAAATGATCCAAATATTATGCATATGTGTTCACCCACCTATCAGGCATATATGCATGATCCATACATTATGCATATACTTACATGAAATGCCTGACCCTATATATGTCCATATTTCAGATTTCCATGTAGGCTGCTCTAACACACCCACTTCAACTCAGGAAGAGCTTGTTAACTGGCTAATCATTTGGATCAGGTGTGTAGGGAGCAGGGAAACACATCTGATGTGCAGGGCAAGGGGTATTCCAGGACTAGGGTCAGGAACCACTGCTGCACTGCATTGTTTGTAGTGTGTAGTGTGATCCACATTTGAAATTGTCCACCTTTTGCATCAGGGCAGCAAAGTAGGATTTAGTCTTTATAGGCCTTGTGTAGCTTAGCATCATCATCAACATCAGTGCTAGGTCTACAGGATAGCTGTACTAAAGGCTGATATAGCAGAGTCCAGAAAACTCAGTGGTTAGCATGGCAGTAACAGAATCCATTTCTTCAATATCACTTAATGTCAAAATCTAAATGTCTCCAGAAAGTACAGTGGGGAGCTTCTTGAAACAACTGAAGCTAATAATATTATTTGACCTGTGAGCAGGGGTGCTAATCAGGGGTATTAGCAGCATGAGTTAGTGATGTTGTCCAGAGTAATCTGTAAAGGTGTTCTTGAAGCTCTGATACCGTTGCTGAGCTGCAAGAGAGCAAGTCAAATTCTTGACCTGTGCCAATGTAAGAAGTGGAAAGAGGAGGCCTTCTGTATGAGCAGAGCGTTTGTATTATTCGCCCAGGTTCAAGAGCAGTATGCACCGCACTTCACACCTCCATTTGTGATGAGTAGCATCAAAATGGACTCAAAGTATCTGATACTAAGACTAAATAAAATGCTTATTAGAAGCAAATTTTTCTACCAAATACCATATACTCTGAAATAAAAACAGAATAGGGAGTTGCAATAACCTTCTCAGTAAAAACTTCATTTCTCAGTGAGAGAATGTGGTCACACCCATTGCACAAAAGATTAAAGACTCCTGTTTATGCGTAGCTCTCCATTCTTCATTGGGAGCTGCTACATGTCTATTGTGTAACTCCTTCAAACATCCTTCCAGACAATCAGAACTGTTGTATGCTGATTGAAAATGATATGAACTTGCTGATGTGGAGTTTTCACATCCATTCAAAGATGTGAGCATGACTAGACTATGCAGGCTCATATATTATAGACATATGATTCCATTTAGAGTTTACCAGCTGCTGACAGCTGGATGACTTCTGTTTCATGTAAACTCTCATCAGTGGTCCAGATTTTCAAGTTTCACTTTAAACTGTGTCTATACCCCAAACTAAACAGGCAGTGAGAGAAGCTTTTTGTCTCGGATTCACTGAAGGAACGAGTAGACTGCACAATGAATGCGCAGAGCATGGAGATATATCCCCAGCTGGGAGACATGTGTGAGAACTTATTTTTAACTCAGAACTTAATTAGAATAACCAAGTTTTTGTCAGCCAATCGAGTGTGAAGACAGTGTTCTGATGTGCAAATACAGAGAAGTTACCCGACAACTTTGATCTAAGATAATTATAAATTGCTTAGGGAAGCTGGCACAAGTAGGAATGGAACTAGTATGAATATGCATGTCAACATATTTTTTATGTTTTTTAAGGTACTGGCACATTGAAAAGGAATTCTGTTTGGGTTTTAGGAGAAAAAAAATTAAATGTACTAAGTGTAATAGCTGCCTAGAATGAGAAAGGCATGTGCTACATTACTGTGACGAACATCAGACATCTTCCGATGTTCTAGTAAAGTAGCAGTGAATGAATAATTGAGGGCCGATGTCTCTGTAGGACACGAGGTTTTCCGTTTTGTCCCATAGGTAATCCCCCCCCTTTATCTCTGCAGCTGGAACCTTTTGTTATTTACACTTGAAATGATAATGACATCACATTATTTGAGTACAGCTGCACCATTTGCATTTGAACATCACAGACCAAATTTGTATTACAAACAATGGAAGGGTGCTACCTGTACAAACTAAATTGTGCCATTGGATCACTGACCCGGTTACCTTATTTATTCTAAATGGCAATATTCCATCATTGAATGAGTTGAAATCTTAGTCAGGAAGCTCAATCATTAATTAAAAACATTAAACAAAAGGCCGGTATCAGTCATCCAGGAGCTGTTAGGGAACCTTTAAGGAATACTGACAGAAAATAACCTTGAGTATAATTTTTGTTTCAATCTAAATCTTCCTTTTACTAATTCAAGAACTTCAGATAAAATATGGCAAAGACATATTGACAAATAAAAAGAAAACTGTAGTTATATTTTGTTAATGGTCATAATTTTATTTAATTTACCTCAAACACACTGCACATACAACAGGTAAAAGAAGCTTACATAGGATAGAGCACAAGCTTTAACAGCTGTACATGGAAATCAAAAGACAGTTTGAAAAAATCCCTTAGTTTAGATACCAAAAATGTGTGAAATGCATGAGACACCTGTAGGTTTCTACCAAGTCACAGCAAACAGTTCAAAATGAACAATTAAATAGATAATAAATAAATAAGATCAAACTGCCTCATGGTAGAGAACAGCATGCGAGCTAAGACTACCAGTCTGATTAACATCAGATAGAGCAGATCTAAAGCACAAAGGGATCTGAGTATGTCTTTCACAGACACTGTAAATCATTTTCTCTCAAGCTGTTTCCAGTTCAGTGCATCATTATCCCAAGAGACATTTTCTTTCCTTTTGCCTTCCAAGTACAGCCATGAACATTCATCTATGTCTTAGGTATTTATTTTGGTTTTGTTACATACCATTGAATACTTTAGTCCTTTACTGGTATGACAGCACATGCATAATGAAATGTTAAGTCACACTCTCATAATAAAAATGTTTTAAGTCACACTGGCTCTGTTGTGTATGTGCCCTGAAGAGCTGCTGTAAGCAGTCGAGCTGTAAAAGCAAGTCCTCCTCAGCCAACGAGCCAGTGCCTTATGAAATACTAGAAACAGAACAAATCTAATGTCAGATGTCTTTTAATAATGTGCGTATAATGGCCACTCAGTTACTTTTTAGCTTTCAATTTTAAAGAAAAATTCCACCAAGTTTTCAAAACTTCTGCATAAATACACAGTTAAGATGTTAAAGTCATTCAGAGTGGTCTGATGTGAAATGCATCATTCTGGAGAAGCCAACAGTCAGAATTGTTCACAGTGGTGGTGATAGGAACCAGACGTCTGACGTGTTTAATGCCTCTAAAAACTACATCACAATAGGTTGCTACATGAAATGTTTATGAATATATTGCCTGATGCCTGAGATATTGTTTTATGATGGTTTTACTAGAAAACCTAAAATGTATTTTATGAAATGAATTCATGGTGGAAAGAGACATACAGGTTGTTGTAAGGAAAAATAGTCCCCAAAGAAAACTTTACAGATTTACTGCTATATTATTATCATCATCAACATTACAGATAAAAACTCAGGTGTAGGTTCACTGGCAATAAAACAGTTATATTTTGGGAATCCTATCACTGTATCACTGTAAAGCAGGGGTGCACAACTCTGGTCCTGGAGGTCCAACGTCCTGCACAGTTTGATGGTTGCCCTACTCAAACACACTCAGCAATGAACATAGGAGTTGAATCAGGTGTGTATGAGCTGTGAGGACACCGGCCCTCCAGGACCAGAGATGTGCCCCGCTGCTGTAAAGAAAATCTAAGTCAGCGAGTTTCTCTAAAGTGCTTCATTTCACATCAAACCACTCTGAAGGACACCTGAATTGTGGAGAAATGTTATAAGACTGGTGGAATTCCCCTTTAAGCAAAGCCGTCTAGCCAAAACAGCACAACATCTGGACAGATGTGGAGGCGCTAGCCTGCTGTCCGTGACCCCTACAGTATTTACACAAGCGTCCAGCTCAGTCTCGACAGAACACGTACTCCGTGTAGCTCGTCCAGATTTTGTCCTCACTCGGCTCATTGCTGGAATACGCGCACGTGCCGGTGGAGCTGCACGCGACCATGCGAAAGCCGAACTCTGTCAGTTTGTCAAACGCCTGCTCGAGGAAATTGTACTTGAGGTAGTAGCGCGACGTGTACCTCTCTGGAGGCCTGTCGGGGTCTCTGCTCTCGTTGAGGGTCTCCCCGAACACCTCTTTGGCCAGAGACGTCTTGCCGCACACGGTGATCCTCGCCACGCGCCTGAACTTGGCGTCGGTCTGGATGTCTCGCCCGATGGTGTAGGAGCCCCTGTACCCCACCGTGATGTAGCCGGACTTCTTGTTCTCCTGTGAGAGCGAAGGAGAGGCGGACTGAGATGGCGAAGGCGCGAGCAGCGCGCCCCCCGGCCCGTTGTTTCCCGCCGTGCCCTGCGCGGGCGCCTCGTCCCAATCGCTGTGGCACAGCTCCTCGCTGATGGAGTTCTCCTTACTCACTCTGGGGCTCAGGCGCTTGGAGAGCTCGCGCAGCTGGAAGAAGTCCGCCTCCCTCTGCAGTCTGCTCTTCTCCGGGAAATAGTCGGGCAGGACGAGGTTCAGGTCCCGCAGGTAGTCGAGGATGTAGCGGAACAGAAAGCCGTCCCGGTCCAAAAAGAAGCGCCCCTTGCTGTCCCGCGCCAGCTCCCGCGGCGTCTTCTTGCTGAACATGCTCCACAGCAGAGAGTCCGGCACGGCCACCAAAGTTCTGTGCCTGGTCACGTACACCTGTCCGCCCACGTTCAGCTCGATAATCTCAGCGAACGGGGTCGGAGAGTCCGCGCCGCCGGACACGCCACGCTCCGGATCTGCTAAAGCCATGTCTCCTTCTCCAGCAGCTCCAGCAAGTGAGCCTCTCGAAACTGTGAGCTACGAGGGGCTTTTTCTCCCCCTCCGCCCCCCCCCACCCCTCCACGCCGTGGAGATGAGAGGTTGTTTAAATGGAGAGTGCAGAGAGGAGGGGAGGAGAATGCAGCCAGCTGATGGGCAGTGAGGGGAGATGGACCTTAACACTTTACTGACCCATGAAGGACCTGCAGGTGACCAGAGGCTCAGAGTCTGCCGTCTGCTTTATAGACGCGCCTCTCATCTCTGAGGGATCAGAAGTGAAGCACGCATCACAAACTCGCAGCAGCAGCGTTCAGTCCTCAAGGGCTTAAAGGTTTTCTTACTCGTCTCCGTTTTAATTTCTAATAAAATCCCTGAAGAAGCGTTTACGCGTTTGGCAGAAGGTGCGCACACATGGAGAAGAAATGCAGAGCAACAGCGCCACCTGCTGCCCATAGAGAAGATCATTTTGCCATTTAATTTTCACAATTGTGGAATTTTCACTCGTTCATTTTTTTTTTCCTCACTAAGGCCAGACTTCACTTGCTTTTTACCGCATAATGTGACCACCAAATGACAGTCCATTTTTAGTGAAAGGCCATTTTGTTGACTATGCTGTTAAAAAATGTTTTACTGTCGTCATTAAATGTAAGTGAATGACTCCTAAAGTACACTGTGACTCTGACACTGAACTAGACTTACCTCAAGAACTCAGCATGTGTTTAGCGCTGGGCCTCACATCATGACATCACTATTTAGCACAATGTATATATATATATATATATATATATATATATATATATATATAGATAGATAGATAGATAGATAGATAGATTGATTAAGAGACAGGTTAACATCTAAATTGAACATATAATTGAATAAAAAATGTATGTAACATAGTTGATGAAAAAAGACATAAAGAAACCACATTTCCAGAAAAGAAACCAGCTATTTATTTAATTTTTATGAATTATTTTATGAATTTTAAACTGTTCTTTCAAAACAACCTGAAGCATTCAGCAAATTACAACTAACTCTCAGGTCTGGAATAACACAAGTATATTTAGATGTGGGTAATAACTAGTTACATACTTAGTTACATGTAGTGATGTAAAAAATTAGATGGTTTTGTACTTTCCTGACTTTTCAAATGATAATTCTTTTGCTTGTATTGAAGTATGTTTGTAAGAAAAGTAACCCACGTATTTACTCAGTTATATTTTAATAATTAATATTTAGTTACTTCCTTTTTAATCAAATTATGTTCCATTGGTGACAACATCTGTACTGCTTTGTCACATGTCTGAATTAATGAAGGGCCTTCAGTTCCTGTCCTGATAGACACTGAATGGACTAAGATGTTCCACTGCAGTTCTAGAAGTTACTCAGTACTTCAGTTTTATGGCCTGGTGCTTTTGGAAAAGTACTTTTACTTCACCCATTATTTCACTGCATTATGTTAATTATTATGTTACACTGATTACTCATAGCTTAATTTGCCTGTGGTCTCTGTTTTTGCACTTAAAAACGTTTCCACAGTAAAATCCCTATTGTCGCGTTAACACCCACACCTCCAGCTGGACACAGACAAACACTGTAACAGTGAATTCAGCACTGGGGATTTTGCTGTGTAAGTTGTTTGAGTCACAAAAGGCAATTAAACCTAACTTAGAGCATATAAGATTTAGCTTTTTACACAAAACCTGTGTGTTAAGATTTGTGTGCTTGCCACAGCAGTGCTACATTCTTGTAGTGTACAAAGAAAAGAAAAAACAAACAAAAATAAAAAGTTTTTGGAAGTTGACTATTTTTGGTCACAAATGTTTTGCAGTTAGATAAACCTCTGACAAGGATAAAATGCATATTGTTGGGCCATTTAAATAGATTAAAAGGCAGTTTGCTGCTGTCAGAACAAAACCTCATGTCTCCGAAATGGCAACATTACAGGAGAAGGAAAAAACACTTTAACTTGTGATGAATTTATGTAACAAGATTTTTTTTAAAAGTAACTATTGGTCCATTCATTAATGAGAACCACTGATTCTTCTTTCTTTGTTTTCCTACCGGTGCTTTAGCGCCACCAAATTTAAGCTGCCACTCCAACATAAAAATATGAAAGGCACTATCTAGAGCCAGTGCTTGGTTTCTCCATTCTGGGCTACTGTAGAAACATGGCGGTGCAACATGACTGCCTCTGTTGGAAGAAGACCCGCTCCCTATGCAGATTTGAAGGGCTCATTCTAACAAAAACACCACGATTCATAGTTACAGGTGATTATACGCTAATGAAAACTTGGTTTTGTAGACTATATCCCATTACTGCCAATAGTTCCACCTAAAATTTACACACTGCACCTTTAATGTTGTGTTTTATGGGAAAACTATAGGGGGAAGTCATTATGGTGCATCGTGTTAGTTTCAGTTTAAATCCTACATACTGCTCTTTCCACAGTTTTTGAATCAACAAAAAATGTTCACATTCAGGAACCTGTGGGAACCAAAATCACTTTCATTCTGACTAAACCTTCAAAGCTTTTGTAACCCTATTCTCCCTGCACCTATTTTGCCTGAGAATTCTATGAAAATAGCAGAAGTATTTGGTCTGTGTAGTAGGCTAATCACCCACATCCTTCAGTGAAATGCCCCCGTTTCATTTTCATATGATATCAGCTTCTGCCAAAATTCGAGATCCCATTCTCACACTGCCCAGGCAGTGAACTGTGGACAAATATGTATTGCAAAATGGGGCATATGATGATGTTCTTCACAGTGTGGTTAATTTCGCAAAATCTTTTCCTGTTTTTCTGTAATTATGCCACATGTAAAAATACTAAAAAAATAAATAAAAATGTTTAATTAGTTGCAAAATATACATTTTATTCATATTTTGTGTCACGTTTGCTGCATGCCATGTGACGAGTGTATAGGGAATTACGCTGGTTTACGATGTGGCATTGTGAAATCGTGGACTTCCTTGCGTGTGCTGTTTTTTGCTCTTTTGTTCACTTTGGAAAGTCAGTGAGCCAGTCCTGATAGGGGCAAGTATGTATATAAAGGCAGAAAGCTGTCCTTGCTTCACAGTAAGATCACGGCCCTACACCATGCTACGAAAGGTATTTTTACTTTTCAGATAGATATTCATTAAGGGACCACTGTAATGTTTTGTTTGCTTTTTGTTAACAGAGTTAAAATAGTATGAAATTGTTATTGTATACTGTGGAGCAGTTCATGTCTTGTGTTTGCTTTTTCCATTTTGCAGAAGTTTTTAATACTCTGACACCACAGTTTAAAAACTCTTCCTATTTGGTTGTTTTTTAGAGTGTCACAGAGAGTTTTGGAGCAGCTATATCATCTTTGAATGCAGCTCACCTGACAGATGGAGTTATCAGGAGGAGCAAAAGAATGATGCTGGACACACTGGGGGTCGGTTTACTTGGAACCAGGACCCCGGTCTTCAACGTGGCCTTCCAGCACAGCAAGGTACCATTCCATGACTGAACCTTTCACAGTACAAATTGATTAGGTGTTAGACAAAAGATAAATATGTTTGTCATTTTTCTTTATTTTATTTCTTCTATTAGAGGTTCCAAGCACGGGAAAACAGCAGCGTGTGGGGAAGACCAGGGTCATTTCTTCCACCTTATTATGCTGCATTTGTCAATGGAGTTGCGGTAGGTTGCTAAAATCACCTTTTTTCTGAAGATGATGTTGCAAAGATCTGATTGGTACCACTTATTGAAAAAGTCACTTTTCATATGGTCACCCATGTGATGGCTTTTCAATGTCTGATAAAACATTTATAGCTTTAGTAGACTTTAAAAATTATGCACCCTTACTACACTATAGATTTAGCTACATTTGATTAGTTGTTTTTGCAGATTTTGTTAATGTTTGTGTTAGTTGGCTCAGGTTGACAAATGTTTACTTTGGTTAACATTCTTTAACAACATCCACAATAACATTTAGAATTAGTAAAAGTTTCTATGGGGAAACAAGTGGAGCAGGAATCTGTAGCAAAATAGGCACTAGCCAAAAACATCTATAATGTAAAAAATGATATGGGATTAGGTGATTGATAATGAATACTGACAGTTTTATGCTATATGTGGGTAATCATACTCTCAGGTGCACTCTATGGATTTTGATGACACCTGGCATCCTGCAACTCACCCCTCTGGAGCTATGCTGCCAGCTCTCCTGGCTCTCGCTGAGTCTCTGCCTTCTAAACTTTCAGGCTTAGAGCTGCTCCTGGCCTTCAACGTGGGACTTGAAGTTCAGGGAAGACTTTTGAGATTTTCAAAAGAGGCTCATAACATCCCCAAAAGGTACTTCTGCTTATGTTTCCTATTATACTCCAAGTTAAACGGGATTAGATATTAGTTTAAGCCATTCTCTGGTAAATAAGAAGTTACACCTGTTTGAGAAAACTGTACTGAACATCTATATTCCTTTCCCAGATTTCATCCACCTACAGTCGTTGGAGTTATGGGCAGTGCAGCGGCCACAGCTAAACTCTTGGGCCTCTCACCAGCTAAGAGTGTGGCAGCCTTGGCTATCGCATGTTCATTTGCTGGTGCCCCGATGGCAAATGCTGCAACTCAGACCAAGCCACTCCACCTGGGTAATGCTGGTAGGTGGGGCCTAGAAGCATCTCAGCTTGCCCTTCTTGGTCTAGAGGGAAACAAGCAGATTCTAGACCTGGAGTCAGGTTTTAGAATCTTCTACCAGGACTATATTCCACATCATTTGGCCGAGGTCTCCCCAACCGCCCACTACAGGTGGGTGTTGGAAGATCAAGATATTGCATTTAAACGCTTTCCTGCCCATCTTGGCATGCACTGGGTGGCTGATGCTGCGACTAAGGTAAGGGCAAAAATTCTGGCCAATGAGCCAAATGCAGATCTCAATCAAATCAAAAGGGTCACACTGAGAGTCCCCTCGTCCAGATACATAGACTGTCCCCTTCCAGCCACAGAGCACCAGGCTAGGCACTCTTTTCAGTTCAACTGCTGCAGTGCACTGCTTGATGGCGAGGTTACTGTAGACTCTTTCAGCAGTAAACTGATGGACAGAAAAGCTTTGAGAGAGTTGCTCCCCAAAGTCCACCTGGAAAACCCCCAAGACAATCAGGCAAGCTTTGATAAGATGTACTGTGAAATCATGGTGGAGATGAACGAGGGAGAAACCTACACAGCTCGTTGTAACACTTTTTACGGTCACTGGAGAAATCCTCTCAGTCAAGAGCACTTGGTGAGGAAGTTCAAGGCTAATGCATCAACTGTGCTGACCACAGATGCTGTGGATGGCATTGTCCAAATCATTGACAGCCTGGAGACAATTCCTGACTGTTCTGTGCTTGGGTCGTACATGCAGTTTCATAAGCACATACACAGAGAGGAAGCCTGTTATTCAGCTTCGGCTTGAGTGTTATTTTAAACTTTTTAAAGGTTTATTTATGTTACTATGATTGACTATGTTTTAATTACTGAACAGTGTATGTTTACAACGTGGCTGTATAAAGCAGATTAATTCTTTTTAAAGTAGATTAATACTTTTTAATGCTTAAAGTTATATGTTAAAAGGGCTATATACATGATTATGTAAGTGCGAGACCTTTGTTTTCATTATTGGCTTCGATATTACAATCAGTGCTGACATTAAACAATTTTAGAAATGTTTAGCAATTTAAGACATTGTTTAAAAATGTTTAGAATTGTATAGCTATTATGACATACTGGTTAATGATGTCTATTTAATGCTTAGATTAATACTGAAACCAGGTTTATTTTTAATGTAAAAGTGTTCCATGTCTTTTAACCCCAAAAATCAAGTGTACATTTTAAGACATAAATTTAAGATCAAGATATAAAAATGGTTTAATATATGCATAGTTGTGATTTCTCAGCTACACTTTTATACTTCCATGTTTACTGAGTATTTACTGAATATGCAAAATAAAAGAGGCTAGATATGAAACTTTTGGCTTTTGGCTTTTGATTTCTCTAATTCTTAAATGTATTTTTGTGTGAAAGATGCATCCAAAATAAATAAATCTAAACATCTTGTTTTTGGCAATATCAGAAGGTTTTCTGAAAATACACAGTGTTTCATCACTAAGCTGTCATAACATTGTGTAACTCTGTGGTAATATCTTTAAAAAACTGGGAGAGAAGGGAATTCCAGTAACAATGACTCACTGTATGCATGCAGACAGAAGAAGGAGATGATGGAGTGACCGGTGTCCACACTGGAGTGTTTCAGTTCAGTGGATCACCTGCCATTTATTTAACAAATTCTACTTTGCCAATAACAAAATCAGTGACTCCCTGTAACAAGACACGATGCTCACCCTCTTTAATTTTACATGTAGGCACTTAAGGGGGTTGAGATGCTAGAGAGCATTCAGGCAAGTTTGAGAACATCTTGAACCATCACACCGATTCCATCAAAAATTTCATGGAGAGGTGCCTTGCACATGAAGGCGCAGGTGGTGACAATCTTATTTTTCTCATCCACATGGGTTTCATTAACATTCTTACAGATGTGCTTACAGCCGAGTTGAGAGATTGCTTCAGCAGTTTCTGGGACATCAGGAAACCTGGAATAAAAAAATATCAAGCAATAACCTCAGAACTCTTTCATCATCCTCATTATATGAGTTCACCTCTTTTCTTCTCAGTCAGGCATTCAATAATTTTTACAGACCAGTGGTTTTTAACTCCAGTCATGGGGATCCACTGTACAGTTTCTACTATTGTGCACCGCAACACAACCGATCAAGCTCATCAGGTAATTATCAAGCTCTTTTTATGCTAGATCAGGAGTGCTGGGGCAGAGAATAACTGACACCGTGCAGAGCAGTGAGTCCCCAGGACTGGATTTGAAAACCACGGCTACAGACCGACTCTGCAGAGACATATCAAACTATAATATCTAGACATTTTCTTTGTGCACTTCAGTGACAAGTTATTCACAAATTACTCAACTCTCATTGCTCAACTCAAAGTGCCGACTCGTTCACGCACTGAAGAACCTTTTTGTTTTTTCTTTTTGGTAAAATCAGACAAACTAAATTAGTAGATCTTATGACACTGTAGCTGAAAATCACAGAACCCTTCCCCCTCTCCTGGTTCTCCTAGGAACTTTCAAGCTCCTCATTATCCCCAAACCTACTGCTTGTTGTGTTATTGATTTTGATTGGTGGGTTTTATGCAAATTCTTAACCATGTTTCCAAGTGTGTCTCATTAGTTCGTCTGATTTTTGACTTTTACCTGCCTTTGACAGTAAATGACTGGCTGTGTTTTGCCTGTCTGCTGATCCCTGCCTCCCAAAATTCATCCAGTGAAAGTGCTAATCAACATCTGACTTATTAGATTAATAACAAACATTAACTGATGAATTAAATTATTAGAATATAGACTAAGGTTTTATTGAAATTTAAATAATAGATTATATAGCTTGCTTGACTAATTTTGGAAACCAAAAAAAATAGAGCAATGCTACTGAATAAAGAGCCGTTTGTCAGCTGAAAAAGCTGAGTCTTATTTGTGAGCTAAGCCAACTGATCGGACTCACTAAAAAAAGGCGTAATGCCCATGACCGGTGCACATGTACTTCAAACCGGCACATTAAAACTAGTTTTAGAAACATCAAATCTAAAACTGGTCTTACTTAATATTACTGTTTTCCAGGTTATAATTTTTACATTTGGAAATTTCTGCCTCTCCTTAATTTATATTCTGTATTCCAATACAGAAAGCAAGCAGTTATTATTGCATTCACGTCTGGAATCTGTTGTGAACTGCACCAAGTTGTTTAACTTTTTACAAACACCAAAATAACACAGAACAGTTTCTAAGAATACATTAGCTAACGTTCTTCTAGGAAATGTGGGCGTACCTTTCGTCCTTGTCGTGGCCAACAGTTACTTCACAGCCTGGGAAAACCTTAGCTGCCAGCACTGGAGAGATGCAGCACAAGCCGATGGGTTTCTTCTCACCGTGGAAGGCCTGCAGGACTGTCTTCACCTCCTCATTAACAGAGCAGTCTTTACTTTGCACCGCCCAGCTGCACAGGTTCTTAGCGACTCCAAAGCCACCTGACAATATTTTATAAAGCAAACTATAATACACAGTTTGCCTGAAAGCAAAATTCTAGTTTTAAAGGAACACTGTCAAAAAAGTTGGCTCATCAAGGATTCTTAAGTAAAGAAAATGGTTCTATACAGAACCATGAACACTTAAAGAAGCTTTTGCCAGATTAAAGCGTTCTTTGTATAGTAAAATGGCTCTTCAGACTGGTTAAGAATATGCTGTGGATGGTTCTATATAGAACCTTTTTTGTAAAGCTTGTAACAATAGAAGAACACTTTTGGGTGCTCTTTTGAACCCTTTTCAAAATGGTTCTATATAGAATCATCTGTAGCACATTTATGCACATTCCCCATCAATCTGAAGAACGCTTTCATAATGTAAAGAACCCTGTAATCTTGCAAAAGGTTCTTTGAGTGCTCATGGTTCCATATAGAACAATTTTCTTTGCTAAAGAACCCTTGAAGAACCATCTTTTTAAGAGTGTACTTGTCAGTATTTTCAAATGAGAAGAAAGTAGTCAATTTTTTACTCAGTTACATTTTAATTATTAACATTTATTTAATTTCTTTGTTACATCGGTGACTGCATCTGTACTGCTCTGAGATTGGTCACACATCTGGCTTTTAAGGTTTATCTGTTAATTTCAGCCAAAGAGCACATCAAAAAACAGAAGGACAGTGACAAGCTACACTTCCTACGCTGACAAATGCTGGATGTACTAATAAGTTCCACTGTAGTTTTTGACCTGACCCTTCTCTACTTCTACTTCCTCTTTTTTTCACAGAAATAACAATCTTTTTACTTGACTAAGGATGTGGGCTTTTGAGGTGTTGAGGGCTTTGCCCTCTCAGATGGAGGGTCAAGTCATATGATATGGGAATACTAAAGTCGACAAGGATAAAAACAAAAAATAAGTTTTAAAGAGATGAGAGGTGGTGCTCCTACCTGGAAAGATGATGGCATCTAACTCCTTTACACTGAGCTGGGACAGGTCTTGGATGTCACCCCGGGCAAGTCTAGCGCTTTCCACAAGCACATTGCGCTTCTCCTCTGTAGGTGCACCTTTCAGATGATCTACAACATGCATCTGGTCGATGTTGGGTGCAAATATTTTGACCTGCGGAAAAGTGGAGGAATGCTGACATACTCCAAAAAAAGTGTTCTACCTAATTTTTGTCCAAGTTGTTAATTTACAAAAAGGCTAAAAAGCCAGTTATTATAGCTAAAAGAATGAAGGTGGATGAAAATTAAAACACTGCAAGTTAATCAAATTAAGCAATGCAGACTGTATTTGGAATAGATGACATTGACATAAATTATTAACAGCAGCATTTAATTGGCTTATATTTATTTTAGCCACTAAAAATATTTATAAATTAACATTAACAATTAACAAATGACGGAATGCACAATGAGACGCTTTTGCATGTTAACTTTTCATTTCTTTGCTTTGCCATGTTCTGCATTTTTCTGCAAAATAGACAGATACAGATACACAGATACATATACTTTATTTATTGTTAAGGGGGATTTGGGCGGTCCCAGTTAACACAACGTGAACAATCTGCTGTGGGTATCTGTAGCTGCAGCTCTGTGTGCTAGTTGTGTCCACTGAGTGGGGAACTTACACTCGCTCCCTGACGGCTTAAATGCACCAGCACTGCTGAAGCCTCGTGGATTTCGCTGCCGTCGAACACGCCACAGCCCGCCAACACAACAGCCACGCGCTTCCCCATTTTATAGAGTGCAGGAATTCACACGCTTTTAATAGAGATACCACCTGCAGCAGTCCCACGCTGAAGGTTATGAATGATGCGGAGTGTTTGAGGAAGAGCTCTCGCGTGTCCGTAACACAATTCACGGCTAGCTCCCCCAGTTGTCGCGGTGGTGAAAGCACAGCACAGAGCAGGGTTGCCAGATTGCTGTTACAGGTTCCAGAAAAACAATTTGCAGAACCAGTCAAAGTGCAGGTACAAAAAAAGTAACTTACACACTGAAAACAGTCTGAGGTCATATTTCTATGAAATAACACAGCGTTTAACCAACATGACGTCAATCTTCTTACGTTATCCACTGATGCCTGTCGCTAGATGGCACTGTTTATCACGGCTTCGAAGAACCAGAAGAAACTATTAATAATTTTATTAAAATAATGACATTATTTGATTTATGTGTATCTTACACTTGCAGAGCTCGCACAAACTAAACAAAGTTTAAAGAACTTTTGTTTTAAATGTGTTATGCATGAATGCAATCAGAAAGGCAAAAGAATAGCAACAAAACTGCAAGCATAAATGTTCATCACAACATTTTAAAAACTTGCTCTCCTTTAGTGCCGAACAGATCGTGGGCCATTCTAATTTACAACTACTACAGAACTGTGTACAGTCAGTAATGCAGAGTGAACTGGACACTGTGTCCTGTTAGGCCTGTACTGGTCCTTAATATCAGTAATAAACTGGGTACATTAACCGCTGATGTCGATTGTGAACGATACAGACGGACGGGTGACTAAAATGTCCGTCAGTAAAAGCATTGATAACTGACTGGATGTAGGGAGATGATATGCCTGTTTTAATTTCAGCTACATTAATGCAGCTTATTTATTCTAAATACATTTTAAAACCCGCTAAAATAATGACAAACCAGCCCGAATTTTGTCCACTGCGACAGCCGAAGAGTCTCAGCCCGACAGTGCACTCGAGAAAGGCAGCATGCGGAATGTCCTACGGCCAAGTGGAGGTGTCAAGGGGAAGTGAACGAGTGCGCAAAAGGACAGAACTGACATGAACCGGAGAAACACATATTCGTTGTCGCTGAGGAAAAGGATTCTGAAATAAAAAGAAACAGGAGACACAAATGTATTAAAGAATGAAGTAGTCGTTATGCCGTCGTTAGAATGAAGTAGTGCAGTCGTTATGCCGGTCATTCAGTAGTAATGGTTCTGTGAAAGCTGTTTATTTCAGATTCAGAGAGAGAGAGGGATCTTTAAGCTTGGCTAGTTTTCCTTAGCTAGCTAATTTGCTGTGGCTTAACGTTAGCGTACTGTTACTATTACTGCACAGCAGCGCGGATAAGGTTACTTAGCTGTCTAAGCTAAGCTAAGCTTTATATTCTAGCCTGCGAACTGTCATTGGGACAAATTGATGGCTCAGCCTCTGTTGTGATGGGGGGAGCAAATTTAAGGCAGCTTTTGGATTGAGAGGTAGGTAAACTAGCTGTCTTCAGTGGTAGGTTAACGTTACGGGGCAGTATAGCTACCGTTATACACTTCGTCAGGGTTGTAGACATAGATAACACTGTTCGTCTCAAAGCATTTAAATGGTCATGCAGAATGTTTTGTTTGGTTGAGGCCGCTGAAGCCCTGGATTATCTGGATAATTATGTAAATAAAAGGTTAATTCCACAGAGTTTTCAACATTTCTAAATACGTTAAAGACGTAAACAAAGTCACTCAGAGTGTTTTGATGTAAAATGGTGCATTGTAGAGAAATTTACTGACTCAGATTTCTTTACAGTGGTGGTGATGGGACCCTGCGTGGTAGCTTTTAGAGATATTGAACACTTCGGATGTTTGGATCCTATCACCACTTCTGTGAACAACCGTGACTCGTTTCTGTAGAACTGAGCAGTTCACATTAAACCACTCTTTGTTTACATCTTAACGATTTAATAATGCAGAAAATGGAAAAAATAAGTGGATTTTATACTTCAAGTATGTTAGCTGTTCACCTCATTAGGAGCGCCAAATTGTACCTAAAAAATTATTTATCTAATTATGAGGAGTTTCGCCTTTGTCTTTGGCAGTATTGAACTGATGTCAAGGCAACTGAAACCTCCAAGTCAAATCGCCCTGTTTGTCTGGTGGGTGAGGATTTTTTGCAGTTTTGATAATTACTGACATTCCATTCTCTGCTCACTTTTCTAGGTATTTTGATGGCCACGTTTCAGAGTTGTATACCAGGACGAGTGACAGTGTACTCGGTGCCGGGTTGCCCACACTGTTTACAAGCCAAGGCAACTCTGGGGGCCTTGGGTCTACCAGTGTGTGATGTGGATGTGAGTCATGATGCAGGCCTCCAGGCCCAATTGATGGAACTGACTGGTAGCAGCTCTGTGCCCCAGATATTCTTTAACAACGTCTGTGTGGGAGGAAACGAGCATCTGAAGAATTTGGTGGGTGAGAACTACCTATAATCAGTGGTAAACTGTAATGCACTATTCTCCCAGTGTAGGTCTTGACTTTAAAAATAAGACGACCTCTAGAGTGAAGCACGATCTTTTGTTTTCGTTCCTCTTAGGCCCCTGAGAAACTTGAACAGCTAGTGCGTATGGTGACGGAGACACCTGTGCCAACAGATGCCCAACCGTTACCTGCAGGAAACAGCCCTGAATCTGAAGAGTGGGGTGGAGGAGGTAAGTGTGTCATGCAAATACTGCTTGTTGCCTGTTACCTTCAAAGTGGAACCTACTATCCTGATTCCTGTGCATTTTGCCTTGATCCTTGTACTTCAAGCCTGAATGAAGAAATACAGTGTTTCTAGCAGTCTGTTTAAGTTGTTATTGCAGAAGAACTGGACAAGAATTCTCTCTTTGGAATGTGTCAGTTGCATGTGTAGCAGTCTTCTTCTATTACTTATCACAAGCTGTTTCTCCTAAAGCACTCTCTTTGGTCATTGCTATAGAGTGATGCCAAGAGCAAGATACGCACTAAACCTATTGTGGGATCAGTCCAACACCTGAACGTATTCCTTTTTACCTATTGTAAGAAATATTTTTATTAAAATGTGACTTTTGAACATGCATAACATTTACTTTCGAAACATTTTAAATAACATACACAACTGTGCAAAAGTCAGAGACTACCCTTTGTTTCTTTTGTTTATATTCAGAACTGCAATTAAAGTTATTCATTTTTCAGCTCCAGGAAAAAAGCAAAAACAAAAACTAAATATAATATTAAATGATTAAGTGTTTACTGTGTGTATCCTTTGTCTTTGTTGCAGACTGTTTTCTTTTTCAGGGTTGCTTTCAGATTTTAGAAGTTGGCTGCATTTTCTGCTGCTCACGATCCAAGTAATCCTAGACATGTTTAGTGATGATGTCTGGACTCTAAGGCGGTCAGTCCATTTTTCTGAGATCACCAGCATCTTCTTTGTTTGATGTACAAATTTTCTTCTTTTTTCTCTTTTTGCTTTTCTCAATAACAGCTTCTTGACAGCTACACATCCTTTCAGACACTTAGCATTGAGTTGTCTTCTAAAAGTGAAAGGGTGGATAGAAATCCCTGTGGATTTTTTCAGATATGAAGCAAGTTTTAAGTACTGTTTATCTGATGGTGACAGCTTTGGTGGTTTACCAGTTCTTGTACAGTTGTTCAGAGTCCCATTTTCCTCTACCTCTTTTACTCCTGTTTTTCCTTTTAACTCTGCTCTTTCTTATGCAAGTGGATTGTTGTATATCTAATCTCCCCAGAAATATCCCTGAAAAATGAAAAACCTGTGCTTAATGGCCTTTTTGACTAGAGATTAAATAAATGAATTGTCTCTGACTTTTGCACAGCTTGCTTTTACATGTCTTTTTGTCTCTTTTACATGCTATATATACACACTTTGGCCCATGGATCCTTGAGTGTGTCCAGCTTCTATCATGTTGAGTTTTTTTTGGCTGGATTATTGCCTTGAAATCAAAGGCATGTCATGAGTTCAATTCCGGCTTTGTCTACCCCTCTAACAGAGTTTAAGTGTGAGAGGAATGCTTTTGCGGACACTGTAGAGGAGTTGAAGAGGAGCGGGCTGATTGGCAGCTGCAGGAGGGGGTTGAGGGTACACAAGAACAGCTTTACAGGCACAGAGCTGGTGGGCTGGCTGTGCAGAGAGCAGGGTTTGGGTAAGTTATCTCAGCTCCCCCGTAACAGATAGGAACGTAAAAATAGTTTGTGAAATTAGAAATACAAATTTGTTTTTGGCCTTGTAAAAGTAATTTCAGTATATATTGTTTACCCCTAGATTACCAAAAGGGTCATCTGGAAGGTTTTCTATTTTGCTAAAAGATTACGGTGAGAAAGGGGCATTCTTTGTCCCTAGGTGTTGGCCTTGGAGTGCTCTAACACCAATTACATGCATTTTATACACAGGAAAAAAAGCTGGTGAGATTGCACAGAACATAGTGATCAGGCTGTATTTACTGCTGTGAAGGGCAAAAGGCACTTTGACAAAAGTAACACCTTATTCAGGTTGCTGGAGCATGATCCCCATGCAGCACTCAACTCTGGAGAAATGGCAGCATGCAGCCCCGTGAAGGGTATGTAGAACCAGCAAAAGTAGCTAGACTAGAAAGTTGTAGCTGATTTCTCTGTAAGTGCATTTAGTTTAGGCTGTGGTTTTGCAAGCTTTTTCTGTCCCTTAGTTCTGTCCCTCACATGAAGTTTTCTTGCCTTTCACTGCCTTTGAAATCTTTTCTTATTCTTGCTGTATAGACACTTCAAACCCACTCCATTTTACTGTGTATGCTCCTTTAGACCTGCATGTGTTTATAATCTGCATGTGCTTATTGTTATATTCTTTCTCAGAGTGTACAGTGAATGTATTCTAGCAAGATGCAGTAATACTGAGTCCTTTATATATATATATATATATATATATATATATATATATGTATATATATATATATATATGTATGTGTTTGAGGTGTTTGTAAACTGGTTGTCTGTTTACAGGCAATGATGTGATGAATTACACAAAATGTGAAATATTTCTTAACATTATTTCAAGAATTATGATGCTCATTGATGTTGGCCCTCACAGCTTCTGAACTATCTGAGGCCCTGAGGAATCTGATCCTGAAACTGTACTCTGATTACCTCTCTACTGATGGCAAGGTACCATCTTACCTAACCTGTTGTAGCATATAGTTTTTCAGCATGTGTAATGTTAAACCATACATCAACACAACTAATAGGTAACATTATTTCAGACTTTGTTAAAGTGGAGTGGGTTTGGGCTATGAATCATCTGTATGTTGTGCATGTGTTGTTATTCACATTTTTCACTGCCCCTTACTGCAGTCAGTGGACTATAAGGCCATGTCTCAGAGCCCCTGTTTCAAGCGTTATTGTGAGCTAGCTGTTCAGCTGCAATGTATGGAGCTGCTGTCACTGAGCCGTGAGGAAAAGCTCGCCTTCTTCATCAACATCTACAATGCCCTAGTTATCCATGGGAACCTGCGCCTTGGCTTCCCCAAAAACATGTGGCAGAGGTACCGGGTAAGAGAGGATACTGGCTATGGCTTGAAAACTGCATTCTAAATTCTTTTATCTTTGCTCATATCATATCGCACGACTTGAAGGCTCATTTGAACATTGGCAGCTCATTGGCAGAAAGTTCCTTCCTGAGGCCAACATGTACCAGATTTATAAATAAATAAACTGTTCTCTTGTTGCAGTTTTTCAACTATGTGAGCTACCTGATTGGAGGTGAGGTGTTCACGCTGCAGGATATTGAGAATGGAGTGTTGCGGGGTAACAGGAAAGGGGCCGCACAACTTCTGAAGCCCTTCTCAAAGAATGACCCTCGACTTCAGGTGACTTGTATATCTGTCTCACATTACTTCCAGCATTGGCCCATTCCCATACAGTAGTTTCAGCATCACCACAAATTTGACTTTTGAATTTTTGAATTTAAGCATTACATTTGTAATTCAATACACTGCAGTAGCAGCATTATTTATCATGGTGATGGTTATGTCTATGCAGTGAAATGAAACAAGTAGCCATTTTTCTTACCTGTCTAGGAAAATTAAAATGCAGATCAACATTACTTTCTCATCCTGTTGTCTTCGGATGGCTTATTAGTGACCACTTCTTCTTGAATAATGCTTTGTTGTGGAGGTCCTCAGTGGCACTACATTATTCTTATGTGATACAGTGGAACCCTTTTGTTGCAATATAGAGCTGTATTTGAAAGTTTTTTTTTAAAAGAACCATATACAACAGTGTTTCTGTCATAGAGAAGAGCCATTTAGAGAAGAAGAACCCTTAAGAACCCTTTAGGCCAGGATTCACAAAGTTTATCCACAAAGTGTTAGTTTTTCTGCAGATTTTCATTTTAACCAAACAGGAGCACAGCTCATATAACTAATCAGTTGTTTGTGGACTGAAATCAACTGATTAAAGAAGTGGAATCAGGTGTGCTTCTGCTTGATTAGAATAAAAACCTGCAGCCACCCTGGTCCTTTGTGGATGAGATTAGTGACCCCTGATTCAGAGTTGTTATGGTCCTTGAATCCCTTTTTAAGGTGTAGATTAATATTTTATCAGAATGTAATGTCTGGTAATTAGCTAAAAGTGTTTTTCTGATTGATATAGAAAAATGTCGTCATTTTAGAATGATAACAAACTGCTCTTTTGTGTTACTTAACATACAAGGAGTGAATATCATAAAGTAAGAAAGTTAACAGGGGTTAAAAAGCATCACAATATTATTCTCAAAGGAATGACAGCACAGCATTTGCAGTGAACTTAAGTTACCACAAAAGGTTAAATAATAAACAGTTTTACTTTTAAGGCAGGGGTTACCAACCCTGGCTCTGAAGATGTCTCTACCTGTTGAGTATAGTCCTGGAGGTTTGATGTCCAGCACAGTTTATAAGTTCACTTACTCAAACACACACACTAAACCTGAAAATTAACAGATGAGTTGAATCAGGACAAGTGTTGTGCATCCCAACCACAATCTGTCACACCTGCTCCAGCACATTAACTTCTTGTGAGGTCCTTGTCTGCATTCAAAAGCACATATTACCATACTAAATAGTATGTGAGAAATAGTACACCACCATTAGAATTCCATTCATTAATGTAGTATTATTAGTACGGTAGTATGTGTTTTTGGGTACATGTCTCGATTGTCTGGATCTTGTTTGGTTGGAGCTAAACTCTGCAGGAAAGTAGACCTCCAGAAGGAGGTTTAGTAACCGCTGCTTAAAGTGTTGTACCTTTTTGGATAGTTGGTGGATGCCATGTAGATCAGTCCTTTGTTTTCTGACATCCAATTAGGTTGCGCTTCCTGATGCAGAGCCTCTGATTCATTTTGCACTGAACTGTGGTGCGAAGGGTTGCCCTCCGATTAAAACCTACACCCCACAGGTAAATAACATACTTACTTCTGTGTTGCTAAAGAACGTATAGCCAGAGTCGGTTTGTTAAGCCCAAAGAGTCTGCAGTTTTGTATCTTTGAGGTTGGATGTTTTTCAATAGGGCATTGACAGTCAGTTGCGCACTGCTGCTGAGGCTTTTCTGGAAAATGAAGATGGCTGCATGGTGGATTCAGTGAAAGGAGAGGTGAAACTCAGCCAGATCTTTAAGTGGTACAAGGCAGACTTCGGTGGCACTGATGAAAAGGTAGGCTGTTTTGAAAGCATGATCCAATTTGAGGGTCACTGTTCTCTTGTTGCATTCGTAAAGTTCTTTTCTTTGAGCCTGAAACATTTTGCTATAACATTACATTTAGACATTTTTGATTCAGACTGTAGATGCTCTCACTTTATGAGTGATGTCCTCCCTTGCAGCTTCTGAACTGGGTTGTAGACCACATGGGGGCATCACAGAAGAAGTTGAACCTGAAAACCCTTCTGTCTGCAGGGAATGTTAAAGTGAGCTACATGCCTTATGACTGGTCCACCAACAGCACAGACTAAACGAATATCTGTCTGCCTTGTAAACACTTTAGGGCTTTAAACTGGGCTGCTTAGAATCTCTGGTCAGTTTGTATATTCTTCAGCATTCACATCAGAGCAGGGATGTTCTCTGCTAAGACTGCAGCCAGCTTTCCTGTCAACCCTAGAGGGGAAAAACAAAACACCGCAGACTGACCTTTTCTTCAGAAAGATACCTATGCATCTACATCACTTGTGATAGTTCCTTCACATCCCAAAGGGCAAGTTGAAGTTGTAGCCATAGCCAACAAGATTTCTAAAAGTTTTTCTACTAGTAGTTTTTCTAGTAATGATGCTGGACTTCTTTATGATAAAGGTATCTTTAATTGTGTTAAAATGAGTTCAGTGCTATGTTGGCAAGTGAATTGAATTCTTCTTATTTATGGGATCTGTTATTTATTTAATTTATTTCATTTAAAGTATTTAATTTGTCTGAAAAGTAACTTTGTTCATCTAAAGTCAAACACAATTGACTATTGTTATGAAAACAAATGAGCATTTTGCACATCACACTAAAGCATTTTTAACCACTGGAACTGTTTAGCATGGATAAAAGTATATTTAACTGGAGTCTTTCCACTGAGTCATCATTGCTGCCTTCATGTAGGTTGCAGTGCTCTCAGAGGTGACAGAAGCCTATAACTTGTTTTTCAATTAGAATGGCAATGTCAAGGCTTATGTAATATCATATTATGTGATTTGCCTTTATGACTTGCTTTTAGGCTAGAAAATACTGGCGGAAGTCCTGATTTCAGAATCTTTAGCATCGATGAGCATGTTCTGAGAGATGTTTTGCATGTCCTATGCAACAGCTGGACTGAGAGTGAGATAATATACTAACCCTATTTTGGCCAGTGCCTTTTCACCCCAGCATGGCATTAAATCCTACTCAACAAACCCCAATTCCACTTCATACTTAATTCAGGAAAATACAGTAATGAAGTATTCTGTGAACTGAAATGTTCATACATAACATTTTGTAGGTGTAATATATGGGGGAAATTAAAAAAGTAGGTTAACTCATAAACCAGTTAGAGACTGACCTCTGTGCTTACCAGGAATTAAGTCAATGCAAACTTTCCCAATACTGCACTCAGTTTTTTGCATGAACCTGTTTTATCTGATTCTTGAGCAATATTACATGTGATTAAGATATGATGAGTATGCAAGATTTAACAATAAAGCATATCTGTGCACAATATTTTTTTGTCTGCTCTCCAGTTAAATGTTGCTGTGCCAGCATATCACATCCTTTTTTATATGAAGAGTTTGGTGACACTTTATTTTAAGTGGTCCTGTTTAGATGAAATGAGCACTCAACAGGCTCTCAGTAACATGTCAAAACATGAGGGTTAGGATTAGGTTTTAGGTTGAGGTTAAGGTTAGGGTTAGGTTTTGTGTAATGGAAGTAACATATTAACAATACATCTACTTAATGTAAGTCATGTATCAACAGAACATCTACAAGATATTTACTTAGGTGTATTCAGATGCTTCATTACTGCTACTTCACTGATATGTTATTGATGTATTACTGATAATCTATTAAGGGTTTATTAATCATCTACAAGGGATCACTCCAAAAAAAAGTGTTACCAAAGAGTTTCATTCCAAAATGTCTTGTATCCATTTGTAACATTTTTGGCTACAACAGGTTTTTGAAAAGAATAACTGCTTACATATAATGAACAACATTTTTATTTCTCTGATAAAATGATTTTAATCATAATACAACATTGATATTTCTTGTATGTAATGGACATCATGAGGGATTCTTGAAAGTGGTCTGTAATGTGTTTTGGAATGAAACCCATCATATATTTCATCCTTTTCCTATTCCAAATAATATGAATAGGTTTGACATTGTGTAGCAAAACATCATGAGACACAAAAATGCATTGCAGTTCCTGTCATATACAGATGGTGTCTCTGTTGAGCTCAAATTGAAAGACACTTGTATTTTGAATTACTATATTTGTTTACAAGCCAAATGCATTCTCTTTATTGTGAAATATGTGACTTACGTGGAATGAAAGAAGTCTGGTGATTAGGATGCCACTAGAATATTTTGTGTTGCATTCAAGTCAGTGAGCAATTTGTGTTGTAGTTTTGCCTCACACCCCACTGTGAGATGATCAAAATATATATATATAATAAAAAAAAACCAATTGAAATATGCAAATATGCCTAACAAGTGAATGTATCATTTTATGATTATATTTTGTGGTAATTACTGTTTCATGCTTCCTTTCAATTGCAAATGAAAGAACAAAATCATAAGCTGAGCTGTTAGATTGGTGATTCCATGATTAGGCCATTGTGCCCATCAATGGACACTTTTGAACACTGAATCTAAGAAAACATGCATTAGCCATTCTACAAAAGTGTGAACCCATCTCAGGATCAACTTGCGTTTCTTTGCTGACAATGGCTTAATGAGTAACAGGGTTGAGGTTTTTTTAGGAAAGAATTAGCAAATACACCAAATGTGGTAAACTGACATCCATGATAATGGCATGAGGACATTCTAATGATTTAAGTAAAAAATATATTTGCAATCATTAATTTACTGTAATTTGGGTGAAAAAGGATGTTTTAAACCTGAGATGTTTAATGGATTCACACAATAATGCAAAAATAAGAGTACTGAAGTACTTCAATGACTGTGTTTCAGTGTGAAGTGTAGTTATTGTGGGCTGGGACGTAGATTATTATTATTATTTTTTTTTTTTGATGTAGCGTTTATAGTTTCTTCATTGTTTTAATGAATTTATCTGAAATACTAATGCATGCACGTACATTATTGTTAAAAACACCTGTGTTTACATCTGTTCAAGATGTGCCACTTTATGTATACATTTGCAAAAGTAATATCAGTGGGTCACAAACGGTGCACCGATCTTGGAATCATCCACATGGCTGTCAGGACAAAACCTTGTATGTCAAAAATAGTAACTTGCAGGAACAGGAAAAAGTACCTGTAACTTTCAGCATAATTAAATGTAGAAACTATTTTATTCAAAGTAATTCTGGACCATTTCTACTTTTCCATTCCTCATAAAATTTTCACACAGTTTAAAGACCAACTGGCATTTTCAAAGTAAATAAAGAAATAAAAGGGTTTTGCCTTGACAGCAAAAACATGTTTATACTAATTAAATTCTGTATTGTAAAAATGGTAACATGCAGGTTATTAGTGGGCTGTAAATGTTGTATTGTGTACAACAACAAATTCATATTTGGTTTAAGTGGAAAAATGAGCATAGCATGTTTATTTTGCAGATGTCCTTCACAGACATTAAATATTAATATTAAGATTTGAAAATACAGACATATTTGACATGTACATTTCTACATATTACCCCATAAGATAATTAGAGTTTTCATACACCAGCTTCACAAGGATCGTGGCTGCATTACAAGCATGGTATTTAGAGGATCTGAGTCAATCTAAAATAAGCAGTCAGCTGTCCTCTGAATGTACTTCTGTGGTACATATATATATGTATGTGTGTATGTAGGTATGTGTATATATATATATATATATATAATTTATTTATACAGAGGTAGTAGTTCCAGCATGAATAAGTAAAATCCTTGAATGTTTGATTTAAAACCATTAAAGAAGTCAGTTTTCTTTGCTCTTGCTCTCTCATTTGTAGATATTCACATTAATGTTTTCTATCCATACTGAATGCAACTGTTTTTTGAATGAAGATGTGTCCCATGATATCCCACTTTCTGTATCAGAGATAATTCTGACACTTTACCAGCTTTTGAAAGGCCTTCTTGAAGTCCTCATTAAAAATGGTGTAAATGAGGGGGTTGATGAGTGAGTTAAGGTATCCAAGCCAGGTCAGAAAGTTGGCTAACTCGCTGGAGGGGCTACAGCTGGAGCAGGTGTTAACTATCACTTCCTGAATGAAGAAGGGCAGCCAACAAATTACAAATGCTCCAAGAATGAGGCCCAGGGTTGTGGCCGCCTTCCTCTCACGTGTGCCTGATATCCGCTGTCTTCTGATTGACTTTTCTCTGCGAGACTGGAAGTTTGGGCTCTTTGCAGTGATGCGTACCCTGTCGCCCTCCGTTGAGGGCTCTGACAAAGACTTCTCTGGTGGACTGAGAGCATCAGGGCTTTGCTGCTCCCTGTCTGAGCATTTAGGGATCATGTGACCGTTCATTTCAGTCTTGGTCAAGCGGCTTGTCCCTCTTTTGTGGTAAAGGATCTTAGCTGCTCGGTATATCTTGTAGTAAAGGATAAGGATGAGTATGAGGGGGATGTAGAAGGCCCCAAAGGTGGAGTACAGTGCGAATGCAATGTGGTCATGCTTTATGAGGCACTGGTTTTCTTTGTGTTGTCTCCAGATCAGTGGAGGCAGGGAAATGATAATGGATAGCAGCCACACCACGCTGATCATGAGTGCGGCCCTAAAAGACGTTCTCTTCCTGGAGTATTCCACAGCATCTGTGATGGCACGATATCGATCCACGGCAATCGCGGCCAGGTGCAGGATGGAGCATGTGCAGCACGTGATGTCCACGCTGAGCCAAATGTTGCACATCACCTGGCCCATTACCCAAGTGTCCTTCACGATGTAGACAATGCTGAAGGGCATGACCAAGACAGCCACCAGCAGGTCCGTCACTGCCAGTGAGCAGATGAGATAGTTGGCAGGGTGGTGGAGTTTGCGAGTGACAATGATGGCAGTGATGACTAAAGAGTTGATAGCAGTGGTCAGCACAGCCAGCACAGACAGAGTGAGGGAGAGGAGGATCATTCCTGGAGAGGTTTTACCTAGCCCATCTGCAGGGCTAACCCCATCTGTGCAGTTTGAATCCATGCCTGGGACAGAACACAGTGGACAGAGTCAAGGGTAAATGTTTGTAAAACGTTAGTTTTAAAGTTCAAAGTTGCTCTATCATTTAAAGGAATGGTTCAGTGAAATATCAAATTTACACACCTTGCCCTGTACCCAAATGTACGATGGGGTCCAAAAGTGTGAGATCACACCAAATTTTTATTTTTTTTTATTTAAACCTGGAAATAACCAACAGAAAGTTTTAGAATTTCAAAAAGTTAGAAGTAAAATAAAGAAGAAATTCTAAAGATTCTTGCTATTTCTAGGTCACAATTCAAATATGAGCAAATTTTTGCCCTTAACCATGTTGAGCCCTCTGTACGAAATGTCAGTTTTTTTGTATCCTTTTCTCTTCCTTTGAAACACATGTTCACACAACTCTCAGGTTGATTTGATCTACTGATCAGAAGCTTTTTCACAAACCTCTGGAGTTCATGCTGGCTTGAGGGCATGCTGTCATTAAAGCAAACAGGGCACATAGCAAATACTAAGAAATTCTTGAATACAAGTAAGTATTTAAAAGATTCTACATTTTACTCAAATTGCTGATAACATAATTTGTAATGAAAAAAAAAATGCTGGATTAAATTACAAAAGAATACAGAATAGAAGCACTTTTACCTGTTTGCATCAGCAAAACATGTCTTTTATAAAGGCTTATTCCAGAAACTGTTATTTATCATTAAGGCTGCTAGTCCTTTAGTTCTTTAGTCTCAGTACTCAGATTATAGATTTTTACAAGGCTTATGTTGTGATCTGTTTAAACCCAAGGAAGTAATTGAGGTACTAATAAGCTATAAAATGCAAAATCATCTTTATAGGGTATTTTCTATTGGGATGAGGCCCAAACCTTAACCACAAAATTTCAACATGTGACAGCTTAAAATGTTTCCCTTTTTTTCCAGTGTTATTTTTAACAAAATCTTTCTTTTGAAGTGCATTTGACAGATTTAGATGGATCATGAATTTAATTTTTAAAAGAAAAAAAAAAAAATCAAAAAATGCTGTCCCACATTTTCATGTCACTACTGAAACACAGTTTTAGTCCATAGACTGAGCCTTATTTTAGCCACATCTGGCACTTGAGAGAAGATAGTGAGACTGCACCCTTGTCCCTCATGGCCACATGGTGAGCAGACAGATTCCATTGCTTTGAATGTGTGTGCATAAATGTGCCCTAAAGTCTGAAAATAAGTGTGTAACCTGTTTTTACCTAAACATGTATTTTCTGCAGTTAAGTAAGCTTTTTATGTTTTAATGAAGAATATAATGATTTCAAGAGTGTAAAACTGTTTCAAGCTGGTATGTGCTAGTCACACTTGCTAGCATTTTGTTATTCATGCTCAAAATTAGTCAAAACGGTCACTACTAAAATGTGTTTTAATAAAATAAGGTACAGGGTCATTCACAGCAAAAGTTGAACGTCAAAGTCAGTTAAAAGTCACCCAAAATCCTTTTCACTGACATAGACTTGCATTACATTAGTCTTGTAGCTCTGGCACAAAACAAAAGGATAAAATTTTAGACACCAAACATTCCCTGACTAATCAACTACATTTGGAGTAACGGGAAAGATTTTTTTCACTAAACCATTTCTAAACTAATGCAAGAAAATCCACTGTTATTTGCATTGACAGTTACAGTTACTGCACTAGGTGCACTTCATGACATCATATATTTAACTTACTCTCACTATGATGTGATTAGTCTATGGCATTTCCCTATTTGTTTAGTTACGGTACATGAACCTAAGATTTCAGACAGCTTATTGTCCCATTAAATGAGACAGGTTTCTTCTAATGACCTTTATAGACATCATATGCACTTATCTTGAATATGTCCCTGTCATGGCCTTTTCTGGACAGTCTTTTCTCCATTTGGAGAGCACGATGACAGTGGAGTAGCATTTTAGCTGCTGTGCCCGCTTATTTTCATTGGAATTTGACTTGTGACTGTACCTGTGGACGTGCCATTCATTCATTTGCCTGCTTCTTTGAGCGTGCGTCACTGGAACAATACGTCATCGTGTCTTTGTGCTGACGGAAATCAACCATGGTGATACGTGCCATCGACTGCCAAAAGGTCAGCATCTGAGGGGTGTAGATCATGAAGTGACAGAGTGTTAATGTTGCTGAAGAGAAGGTCAGAGCAGGTCTGCAGAGCTGGACAGGAAAAGGATATCATAGTGTGATGATAAAACTGTTGCTGAAGGGATAGAATATAATTTGGGTTTGTCATTTTTTTTAAGCAAAATTTCTATGGGTAAGATGTCTAGCCCGCTTAAAAGACCTCTGCCTGGGCCTGTTCTATTAAGCACACAGACCTTTCTGTTCAGTGCGCCACAGTCAGACTAACAACTTTCCCAGAATCTTAAAAGAGGTAATCCACTCTTTTATCCCTATCTTTGATGGGTTGTCACTAACTGTAAAAATGTGTTTTGAACTGGTACATTTTCCAGCAGTCAAAGTGAGAGGCTTTTTCATGACTCTGGGACAAGTCATCAGCACAGAACTATTCTATATGCAGTTTTATCATATATAGAACCAGATTCACCAACTGGACCTATGGGCCTTACACCTGTGACACACTGTCACTCGGTGCTCAATCCTTCCAACATACCTTACTCTTTCACCAAGTCATCACTTGGAGGAAGCTATTCAAGCAAAACAGAGGCATTGCACAGCTTTCCAGATGCCATGGAAAAGCCCACCATCCAGCCTGGCCTCATACCTGACACTCATCATGATGTGACAAGGACATGGCAAAGAACTACTCAGGCTTGACTTGCCAGCATTCTGTGTGCCCACAGTACCTCAGCACACAAACTCACAGCTGAACCTGCCCCATTATTTGTATCTATGCATTTGTCTAGCTGCTGCTTCCCCGGGTAGCAAACTTTGATTGAAACAATATTGATGTTGGGTCAGTCCGTTGAATCAACATAGGTCTCTGATGTTGAATTTCTATTGATTTTGCTTGATGTATTGGCTATTGATTCAACATTGGAAAATCATCCATGTTGAACAATGCTATAGTGGGTAATAGGGAAAGTCAGGAGAATTCCCAATGGGCCGTTAGAGCTTTGAGAAAATGTTACATCAAAGTGTATATCTGTAGTAATATAGGGGTTAAACCAGTGTGGCCCACCTTAAGTGAGACGGCACCCGAGACAGTTGCTGATTGTAACTGATAGTGGTGCAGGAATCAAGTGCGGTCTCAAGACCATAAACTAGTGGAATAATTGTTGAATAACAAAATTGGAATAAACAGAATAAAAAGACCTTTCTCCGTTTCAAAGGTTCCCAAACTTATTATTAGTATTATTTATTTGTTGATTTTTATTGACTCCAAAGTTCAATCATTCCCTAAGGGCAGACTGAAATGTTATTATTACTATGTTTTTATTCAATAATAAAAACGAATGTAGTTTAGTTAATGTTCATTTGACTTTAAGAAGTGATTCTAAGTACGTTTAAAAGAGGAAAGGAACAGGGAATAACCTTAACACGGCTTCCAGTTATAAAGCAATATATAATAATGATTAAGACAATAATATAATAATAATTAATAATGTTTTAGGCTATCTATTATTTTATAATCTTTTCACTTTCATGTTATGAAAAAAAATCTTAATCGGTCTTAGTCTTGTCTTGTTTTTGGCCACTTCTGGTCTTGGTCTTGAATCAGCTAACATCAAACCTCGAGAGATTAGCCAATCAAATTCAATGTGACTTAGTTTTATCATCTTCTCTGCATTCTGAAGCAGCTAATGTCACCATTACCAAACACCGTGCCCAAAGCCATGCATCACCTAGAGAGGTATAAAGCCCCCTAGCATGGGGCTGTGAAGCAGTAGAACTGTGTTCTTTAGAGTGATGGAGCACCATCTAATACCTTTGGGACTCATATCATCCAACATTAGTATCTGACCTCACTAATGCTTTTGTGGCTGAATCCTCACAGCAAAGTGGGGACAAACACTAATGATATAAGAAGAAATGTTGGACAAGTTCCTACAAACTTTTAAACATGTAGCACTTTACCTACAAGAATAAATCCATGCTATTCTATTTCTTGGCCAGATTAAACTTCCTCATGCCTTGATGTATGCAAAAAGTCCTGTGCAGTGACATTCTGCTCCATCATACTGCAGAAAGATCTTCTCTCACTAATAAGTAGTGTTTTGTCCCAGACTTGCTGTCTGGAATTTGAGCACTTTTACCTTCAGGCAGTCAATTTAAGGGCAGGTCTCACCTAATCAGTCTCTGCCACCAGAACACCACCCAGTGTTCCCTCCTTTTCAAACAACAGGAGTTATCTGAGCACGGCAGCGCTCACCGTATATGAAAAGGATATGTGACTATCATTTTTGCCTTGCATGTCTGTTCCAGCAGGGGTGCGCTCACTGATGAATCGTTTTCTCAAGGAGGATTTGTGATGGTGCCTGGTGTCCCTGAATTTAGTTCCTCTGTCTAAAAACGTCATGTTGTGCATCCTTTTTGAAGTGTGAGTGAGTTGCAGAGCAAGGCCTCAGCAAGAGACCAACAGAAAATGAAACCTCAGTTCTCTAACGGAATGAAGACACAGTTCAAGAGAATCTTCCATGTGAGTTTGTCCTATAGCAAGTTACACTGATGAACCCACACCACTTGGCCATGAGGTTATTTACCTCTTGGAGAGGGAAAGATCCCTCCTTCTCACAAATTAAGAATAAATTCCACATAATACTTTTTAATGCCTGTGTTTGTTCTTCAGAAAGATTTCATATATTTGCTACATTGAAATATACTAGACATCACAGATATCAATTACAATGATAATCATATTGTTGCTGTCAGGTCAAAGCCTTGTATCTCCATTTTTGTCATTATTTATTTATTTGTTTATTTTTACATCATTTATAAACATCATGAACTGCTTCCTATAGAAATGGTCCCAAATTACTTGGAATTTTTTTACATTAAGTAAAGAAAGTTTTTCCTTCTCCTCAAAAGATACCATCTTTGAGATATAAGGTTTTGTTCCGACAGCAATGATATACAACCATGAGTTCTACATAGAACCATTTCATGCTTAAATGGTTCTTTACATGGTGAAATTATTCTTCAGATCAATGGAGATTCTTCTATTGTTGTGATGTCAAACCTGTAACAATAGAAGATTTCTTTTTGGTGCTATATAGAAGTATTTTCAAAAAGGTTCTGTATAGGACCATATACACATTCTCCATCAATCTGAAGAATGAATTCACCATAAACAACCATTTAAGCATGAAATGGTTCTACAGGTTCTAAAAAGAACCATTGCCTTTGGTAAAGAACCTTTGAAGAACAATCTGCTTTAAGTGTGTACAAAGCATGGAGGGGAGAGCTCCTTTACACAGGGATAGGTCTAAATGGTAAAGGGGTAAAGGTGAGAGCATCAGTAATAAAAAACTATTGCTCCAAAGCCCACCACACGCATCTTTGCACTTCCACTGGTTTGATGGGAATGGTTGTCATAGTGATGACTTTTTGTTTGGAATGGAGAAAGGCCCACTGTAAGGAATGAAATACTAGATCAGTTTATCACTAATACCTCCAAGCAAGTTCAGGAAGCATGTGTGTTTTAGGTTAACATTGTCAATGCAAACTGATTAGTTTTTATGTAAAGCATGACTTTCTTCCGGCTGTGGTTCTTTTCATGTGAACTTAACTGTTGTTTGCCACGTTTGTCATGACATTAGTCATTGATCACTTTAATGGCACACAGACACATAATAATTCACACATGAATATTTCACCTGATTCCCTTCCAGAGAACATTTGCAACTGAAAGAACAATATGTTGGAAAAATGACACAATGTGTAGAGAATAAGTCAAAAAATTGAATGAAAAACATTTCAGGAAAAAGTAAAAATATAACACACTGTTGCAAGGACAGTATTATTTGATAGTCTTGTGCTTTCCAAGCAAAATCCAGCTACAAGTATCTATTAACAACACACTCATTAGCCACATAAATTCTCATTAATAGCTGGACAACAAAAAGAGTCATGCCATGCCAGTCTGCACAGAAATATCTGAGTGTTAAGATTAGAAATCGGGGATGGTAACCGCAAAATTACATTTTGCATTCCATTTGCATGTATTTCCCCTTTCTTCCTCCTTGTAACTTGTCTAGTAGTAAACAAAGAATAGAAGAATGAAAACAAGTAAATTCAAATAATATTCAGGCAAAGGATCTGTGAAAACTGCTTCATATGAGCTCACTTCATAAAAATATGCAATATTAGACAATAATAATACTTAACAAAGCAGAAAATTACATAACACAAACTTGTGATTTAATTAGGATTATCCTTACACCCAGTGTTGCTTCTTCTTAAGCCAAATAAAAAGGTAAAATGCCAAGATTTGCCCATCTATGCACTTTTCTCAGAAGGTAATTGGAGTCAGCTCCTTTAATGTCATATGTTTTCATATTTAATCATTTTTTTTACTTATTTTAGTTTTAAACCTTTAAACAGTGCCTCTTACTAAGGTACAGCAGAAAGTAACACTGAAAGGGTATTGTGTTTTAGGTGCCTCTAGGGAAGCAGGAATAAGTTTATTAAGAAGCTCATATTCAGTAATATCTGACAGAAATCTCACATTGTAATAGAGGCGAACTGTAATACTCTGATATGTGTGGATGTATCAGACAAGGACCTGGCTTATGTGAGATCTTTGGAATTTGCAGTTGTGAGAGTGCTGCAACTGTTGTATAACAAGTAATCAAAGATAGCAGTAATAATAAAACAATGCCTAATGATGTTTGGAAAGGAACTGTTTTTGTCATATGAAATATGAGATTTTATGATGAGATTTTCACAATGCCAGTGTGTTACTTTTCAAATAAGTATAATCATCAGTCTTGACAGGCTTAGTGTTCCTTTTTCAATGTGTAATTCAGAGCACTTAATTAGCAAGAATCAAGTATCAAGAATCAAATATTATTAAACTAAAATTGCTTTTTTAGGCTGGAGGGTGATTGAGTCTCTCTTCAAACATCAGATATCATAAACAATCACAATGCAAGCATAATCTCATAATTGTCAGCGTTTATACT